TAGTTTCGAATGTTTTAATACTGAAGACTTTTTGGCTTATTGAAAAGATATTCCCCACCCTAGAATAAATTGTATTTGTTTCTTGTAGTAGAGTTTGATCCTTTTTTTTCTTCAGGTGTCGTTATGAAATGAGTCTTTAGTTTCAAAAGAAGAACTTGAAAGTTGTCAAACTTGTTTCCGATCCGTTTGTATAATTCAATAAATGCATGTTTAAATCAAATCAATAAAGATTAGTTGCATCAAATGTTAAAGTGTTCAATCATTATTTCTTGGTAATTTTTTAACATTTGATTTATTTTTCCCGGCCTTCCGTTTTCTATTTCATATTTATGTTTAAAGTATTAAAAATAAATACCGGTATATTTATATATTTAGAATTATATTCATAACTAAATGCGTCTGCATACTTTCAGTGAATCAGAATGTAACACCCATCCCCACTCTTTAAAATATATGTATTTTTAAATCTTGTTAAATGAAAAAAATCCGCAATTTATATGACTGTATGAAGTTAATCATGAATCTATTTTGAACCGGTCATTGTATATAAGCCGAATAACAAACCACAATACCAGAATAAATATGAATCCCACAAGTGATCACACACACACGTACACTCCACAACTTCATTTCAAGACATGGGATATAAGGCTCAGGCATATACTAAGCTTCACTGTTACCTTCCTGAGAAAGTACATGTATGCACACATTATGATCTATTTTAACCATATTAAATGCTAGTAGCATTTTAGTATAGGTTAAAACACGCATGTTAAAAATAGCAACAGAAAGTAGGAAAACGGGTAAAACATTCTTAATATTCTTCGATCATCGTAAACGTGAGGGGGGAGGGGGTCTCAGCTATGGACATTTACGCTTAATTGATTACCTGAACTAATTAAACAAGAACCAGGCACACATGTATAATCTTAAACTGTAACTTTTGTTATTTTTGTTATTTTTTTTTAAATAACTAATTGCTGTTATTTATATACATTTTTTATACACGAGAAGCTGTATGAATGGGTTAGTTGATCAAGCACGCAATATTCAAGCCGACCAACATGTATTTTTTATATTTGATATATTCTTTATCTTAGAATATAGAGCGTTTTGATCATTGACTTAAGTAAAATATATTCAGATATTTATATCCTATAACTTCCATATATCTTGAACAAATATAGGCATATTACCATGGATTAACATATTTTGTGCAGATTTGTACCGTACTAATTTTGCACTAAACTGCCCATACATGTACATGTACGCATGTTCAATACAACTTTTGCAGGAAAAAATTGTTGACATTGTTAAAGTTTTTCATACATGAATACATTTAATAAATTACGTGTAATTGGTAGCAAATTTTCATAATTTGAAACGCATAAAAATACATATTCATTTAATTGCGATTCAACAGAAGACAACAAGATTATTATTTTTCAAGGTAGATGTTAAATCATGAAATGTTTGTAGTAAAGTCTTTGTCGGGGAAATATTTATTACAGGTTAAAAAATCCTTAATACTAACGGTTAAAATAAAATCATTAAAAAGAAAGTCTTTAAACTCTAAAACGTTCAATGTATACTTTCATACTGCATTGATGTTTTAAGTTAAGAGGGCTGAATGAGCACCGGAGACGTTAATACATGTACATGCAACAGCCTGATTCAGCGATTTTATAACATGATCGAAATAATGTTGTTTTCAGGAATCCAGAACTCCAGAATCTTCTTTAGTACATTTCAATAAACCATGCACAAAATAATAATAAGTTGGAATGTTTTAAAAGTGTTCAAACGATTCGTATGAATTTGTAACAATTTCTATTAATCATAACATTTTAAGCGATGTATCATGTTTGCGATTTTTACATTCGGTGTATTGTGTATAACTTCATCTAACATATTATGAAAAGGTACATAAACATATATTCAATCTGTTTAATTTTCAGTCATAAAATATCTTACTGAAAACTGTAACTTACAACGTATGCGAGCATCCGTATATTCAAGACAAATATTTCAAGAAGTATCCAAAGAAATAGAGCAGACACGTGACACAGGAGAAAAGGGGGGGGGTCTACATTTTTTGTACAACATGAGGTGTCCAACAATAAAATGAATTGAGAAGCTCAACAGGTTTTTCTTCAAAATATTCATTTTAAATCAACAGCTAAGTCTAATTTCGGAAGAAGTGTCCAAATCAAATACTCTGTGTCGTATCTATAGAGAATGTTTTTTTTTTAATTAAACTTAACTATTTATCAATAATAGTTCACGTTTTATTTATATAAACGGCAGCGTTAACTGTCCCAACTCAGTTTATACCGTATAAATTGGGTAGCTATTTAATTCATTCCATAAATAAAAGATAAATTATTCAGATCAATTGTCATTGCATCGTTATTTGAAAAAAAAAACTTAGTTTAATGCTCCTGTTAAATTTTCCTTGCATGTGCATCACGATGAAACAGCTGGACATTAAATTTAATAAAAACTATCTTTAAAAACTTGTTTGTTTGACCTTTTAAAATTAATCGACCAAAATCTTTTTAAGACTTCCAAATTATTTATTCCGGAATTTTCTCATCCTATCAACAACTTTCTTTTTAATTTAGAAATGCCTTCAATCTTTTTCAACGCCGAAAATGTCCGACAAAAAAAATTCGAATTACCTACCGATGCAATTTTTAACACTAATAGGGAGAGGGCAAACAAACTTCATTTTAAAACGGCCTTACGGGAAAAGCCACCACTGGAAATCTTTAAAAAATACACACTTAATTAATTGTGAAAAGGAAAGATCACACAGACACTTGACGGAGACTAAGTTTGTAATGAATAAACTACATCAAATTGGACCCAAGAATCTGTCTTAGCATATAAATATAACAACACCCCTTTGTTCTATCGAGAGTTTCTCTCAAGGACACGTTTTTATCGAATTTACCTTGTTGACTTTAGACGCGTGTTCTGACGTTACGTCATAATAAAGATAAGGGAGGTTTTTGCTTGGCGCGTCACATATGTAAAATTTTCTGTCAATTTTTGCTGACATGCATTATTTTTTATAGTTAACGGCTAACACTGGACCCATTTTAGGGGCAGTATTTTGTTTTGAGATTTGGAAATTCTTTTAAAAGTATTTTCCTTAAAACATAAGTGTATTTTAAGATTATAATATGCAAGGCTCTTTGAGATGAAATTTCAGTGTAGATTGATTAATAATTTGTGGCAACATTAATTTGGCAACCTTAAGAATTTTGTGATTTATGACCAATTATTGACTTCTAACTTGTCCCTTATCAATTAGGCATAAGGATGAAGGTGAAAAGCAATGCTGGAGTAAATTGTTTATGACATCAAACTGAATAATTTTAATGAATGAACAAGCACAGAAACCACTCCCCGAGGTTTGTAACCTATGTGAACTGCTATATAAAATCCAGTGTTAATGGTCCAACACTTTATGAATGACCATGAGACTATACATTCATCAATCTTTCTCCTTTTTACCTCACCATTGTGAGGAACTTTGAAAAGCTGTTTACAAAGGTTGATGGAGAGGAAATGAATTCTTTGGCATTCACTTAGATAGATCAATATTAAAAAATCCTAGTCATTGTTGACACAAATCAGAAGAGTTCATAAAATAGTTTGAAGCAATGGATGGCTCAGACCAGCATCCATTAATGTATGGGAGAAGAGACAAAATGGGCCTTTGTTGAAATAAATACTTTTGTTTACATAAAAAGTCAGCAACGCCATAAACTCATTTACTTTTATATCAATGCCATGTATATGTCATTGTAAAAAGATTCAATAATACCAAACTGGAACCCATAATTATAAAGTATTAACTTTAAAAAAAACTCTTCACAAATTGTAGTCTCTAGTGAGTATGGCTGTTAAAAGTTTTTTTCTATGAGGAAGAATTCACAGCTTATAATCTTGTCAAATATGTATATTTCGATAATCGCAAAAAAGAATATTATTTAGGTAGAGAAAATAAGATCAAAATCCAATTCTTATGAAATCGAAAATCTTGCTTCCTTTTCACAATTGAAACTAATTTTCGTTTTTTGTAATTTTTTGAATAGACAAGTGCTGTTCATTATACTTAACACCTGATTAACCTTCTAGAGCTGTTTACAAAATGTGATGGAGAAACGTGAGCTATCTGATACTCACTCCAGCTGATCAATATGAAATGAACCTGTTATTGTTTGCTCAGCATCATGAAATACGATATTAATGAGACTGGCTTCCATTAAAGATATATTGTAATTCAATACAACATACATTTATTACATAATAAAATTAAATCTCAATAAACATGAATTCTATGAAAATTTCTCAGCATTGAATCAGGTGTCAGTCATGTTTCTGAGAGAAAGGACACATGTTCTATGAAACATTTTTTGGATCAAAGTGGGGAATATTGTTTGCAAAAACAAAAGAGGGCCCTGGGCATATCTGGAAATCCACTAAGGTTATTTTGGGGGTTAGACAGAAAGGCAGAAAAAAAGATAAAATTAGACTACTACTAAAATTGGATGAGTTAAACTGTTACGTATATGTATGTTCTATTTAAAATAGAAAAAAAATTTAATAGGACACTTTCTTGTAGGTGAGTTTGATACTGTCCTAGGTTATCTGTTGACATAATATATAGAGTTTATGGATTTCTGCATTTTCATTGAACATACTATATAGATATGATTGTTTTATGAAAGTCTGAAAACAGGCTTGTGTAGTATGCTGTTTATTAGGCATGCTATATGGTATCTGATCTTTCTTTGTGTTATTAATTAATGAAGTTAACACATATATTCTACATTTTGAAGTTATTTCTGAATGATACACAGACATACAAATTCAGCCTTAAAGCACAAAGATGGGTCAGATATTTGATGTTGTGTTTAGTATTTTTATTTTTGTTGCTGTAGTTTTTTGTGTGCTTATGTTTCTTTTTGATTGTTTCTTCTGCTCAGTATGAAATACTGTCTTCAATGTTGTCTCAGTCCTGAGAAAAGATGGCAGCCATAAGTAACCATGGAAACAGGAAGCTACCCTCCAAAAGAGAGTGAAGAGTTGCACCATCTGAGACAGTGACAAAGGGAATTTGGACAACAAATCTTCTATTAATAGGATGACATGTGATAATCCCAAGGGATAAAAAAACTGAAAACATTTTGTCAGGAAGAGCAAAACATTATGTTTTGATATGTATGCTTCGATGACAAAAATGTTTATATTAAATAAAATTTATGTAATAAGTATCTACATGTACACATAATTCCTGAGTTCATTTTTAATGAAGAGATATATACATTAGGGAATTGTAAATGTCTTAAAATTGTCATTATTTAAAATAGGTAGATGCATTTGTTAAGTATGTTATACATTGTTACATTAGATGCCCTAGCTAAGACTCAGAGTTGTAACCAGTAATTTTGTACATCAGCGTAACATCAGTTGATCTGATATTTTTTTTTTATGTGTTTCAGTATTTTGATGTATGAAATGTTGTTGTAAAATAAAGCGATCCTACATAGATTGTTTTATTCATGAAAATAAAAAAAGTTGAGGCCTTTTTTTTTTAAAGACAATATTTCAGTAGGCTTGTGATTACAGCTTAACAACAGATGTAAGATGAAGTCATTCAGCTAGAATGGCTCAACAACAGATCTATATATTCTGTGTATGGGTGTTTTGAAAGATTTTAAAAAGAATAGCCTTGATCATAGCTCATTTCATCAGACAGCAATGTTAAATGTTGCATTGCTACATTTTACAATTTTTAAAAAGATAATGTACCTTTACAATTGAAGTGTTGCGAGTTCATTCTATTGAAAAAGGTAAATATCCAATGATGTTCATTTTGATTTTGATGATGAAAAAAAGTTATATTTTGTCAAGTGACATTGCAATGGCTGATGTAGAACACAATCTGTCATTCATGGAAGTACGAGAAGCTTTTATAACCAAAAGGGATCATCCATTCATCTTTAATTCATTGCTTAATATAAACAATTGATTATTTTCAGAGAGAAGGAAGGGTACCAAAGTTTTATTATCAATTAATGAAGGATGAGTTTTGTTTTTTACTTGTGAAGGTAATTAGAAATCTAGTAATATTTTGTCATGCATACAAAAGAAAGATTTTAAAAGAGATCATTTATTTACATATATTATGAGAAACTAATTACATCCACTGACTATTTTCCCCTTTATTTCTTAAGTAAACCCATTGCCGTTTATCAGTGCATGAACAACATCAGGCATATCACCTGCACTAATTTCTTGATCAGTGGCTGTTCCATCAGTGAAACGTACTAAGTCGTACATATCAATAATATAATAATTAGTCTTTTCAGTTCTACTTTAAATGATTATTTAAACAGATATAAATATAAACAATAAAATGTTTTTATTTGGTTGTTAATATGGGAATGAATGTCGCAGCTATTGCAGAAAAAAATTACATAACCCGCTTACGCGGGTTATGTATTTTTTCTGCAACAGCTGCGACATTCATTCCCGTACTAACAACCAAAGAAAGCATTTTATTGTTTAAATATCAGGCCCCTCTTTTAAAGGTAAAGAGAAACTAGGATTTTGTGTGTTTATCATATACATCTACTGCCATCTGGTGTTCAAAAAGTCATATATATTTTTTTTCTCATCATAAAGTTTTTAGTTTTTTTCTTCTCTTTCAAAAAATTGTATTTTCATTGTTTTGCCAGACGTCAAGGTGTTAGCGTTGGTCTCTATTGATCAATATAGTAACAAGCTACTTCAGAGAATTTGTGTCCCCCACTTAAGGAAAAAGAGGTGGATGCTCAGAATTGGGGGGTTGACTCCCTCCCCTTATTGGCAGAATTAGTAAATGTATGTACTGAAGCAAATAAAGGGCAGTGGGGACCAAAGGGAGTTATGGTATAAATATTAACTGCAAAAAACCAAAAGCTTCTTCAGATGAAAGGTTAATGCACAGACAGAAAACATGAATTAACGACCTTGACCTCTGACATAGCCATAGGAAGTTGTGGTATAAATTTCATTGCAAAAGCTCAAAAACTTCTCGAGATATCGTACGAAAACGCACGTGTTAAAACAGACAGAATTTTTAATTTATGACCTTGACCTTTGACCATTTCACCTCAAAATCAAAAGGAATCTTCCTTAGGCCATGGGAAGTTGTTATGTAAAATTTCACTGCAAAAGCTCTAGGCCTTTTTTATTTAGATATCGCGTGGAAACGGAAGTGTTACAAACAGACGGACAGAGAGGCCGAAATTAATATCTCCCACTTTCAGCAGGGGACGAAAATGCAATAATTTATTATATTATACTTTCATGTAAATTAGTTGAATCTGATTGGTCAAGAAACATTTGTTAAAAACACTATTACCCGCTGAATAATGAAGCCACGCCCTCCAGTGTAGCAACAGTCAACAGTGCTTGACGACGGGTGATAATAAATATAATATAGATATACCCTAGATATAAGTAAAATAGCGACTACACAGAATTTATGCGCGCATGATTCACTGTTATATGTATTTGTATAAAACATTTAGTATAATATAATAAATATTGCATGTAGTTGAGTGTAACATTGAAAATTTTCACCCCTCGAAAACCATTGTCAACCTCGGCTGCGCATCGGTTGACAATGGTTTTCTTGGGGTGAAAATTTTCAATGTTACACTCAACTTCATGCAATATTTATATAGTATTCAGCAAACAAAGTAAGCTAATGTTATGATGAACAAGGGTACTTATCTATGGCACGCCAAATTCACAAAAATGAGCTAAACCTAGTTTCACAATTGATAAACTAGATTTATCAACTGTAAACTATAGTTTACGGTTTGTAAACTATAGTTAACGATTCGTTAAGTATAGTTTTCATCTGTAAAACTATATTTAACAGTTGTTAACTATAGTTTACGAATGCTAATCTTAGTTTATCTGTCTGTAATAAAACGTTAACAATAGTTTTTGTTGATAAACATAGATTCACGTCTGTAAACTATATATGGCACGCCAAATTCACAAAAATGAGATAAACCTAGTTTCACAATTGATAAACTAGGTTTATCGACTGTAAACTATAGTTTACAAACCGTAAACTATAGTTAACGATTCGTTAAGTATAGTTTTCATCTGTAAAACTATATTTAACGGTTGTTAACTATAGTTTACGAATGTTAATTTAAGTTTATCTGTCTCTAATTAAGCGTTAACAATAGATTTTGTTGATAAACATAGATTCACGTTTGTAAACTATAGTTTACAATCGTAAACTATAGTTAAGAGTTGTTAATCATAGTTTCACAAATCATGAAACTATATTTATCAGATCGTTAACTATAGTTAACGGTTTGTAAACTATAGTTTACAAATCGTGAAACTGTATTTATCAGATAATCTATGTTTTGCAATCGCAAATGATTGTTTTCGGTGTTAAGTATAGTTTACGGTTGTGAAACATAGATTATCGCGTTAACTATGGTTTACAGATGTGATAACGTTGTTAACTATAGTTTACAGTTTGTAAACTATAGCGATAAACCTAATTGTGAAACTATGATTATTTCATTTTTGTGAATTTGGCATGCCATAACTATAATTTACGATCGTTAACTATAGTTAAGAGTTGTAAACCATAGTTTACAAATCGTGAAACTATTTATCAGATAATCTGTGTTTTTCGATCGCAAATGATTGTTTTTGGTGTTAAGTATAATTTATGGTTGTGAAACATAGATTATCGCGTTAACTATAGTTTACAGATGTAAAATATAGATGAACGTTGTTAACTATAGTCAACAGTCTGTAAACTATAGTTTACAACCGATAAACCTAGTTTATCGACTGTGAAACTATGATAGTTCATTTTTGTGAATTTGGCGTGCCATACTTATTATCAAAATGTGAAATTCTCGGCCCCTGTGTCCTTAGTCATGTACTCATTGGCAATTGAAAATTGTTAATTAGTGAAAGACACCTGGGTCAACAGGAAAGGTCTCTGTTGCAACCACTATTGAAATAACGACCACTATTGAAATAATTATATCAGTAGTGGTTGAGAGTGCATTTCAATTGCAAACATAGTTAGTAACCACTATTGAAATACGAACACTATTGAAATAATTATATCAATAGTGGTTGAGAGTGCATTTCAATAACAAACATAGTAACCACTATTGAAATACGACCACTATTGAAATAATTATATCAAAAGTCGTTGAGATTGCATTTCCATAAGAAATATAAATAGTAACCACTATTGAAATACGACCACTATTGAAATAATTATTTCAATAGTGGGTGAGAGTGCATTTCAATATAATAACCATAGGTTTCAACCACTATTGAAATACAAGCACTACTGAAATAATTATTTAATAGTGGGTGAGAGTGCATTTCAATATAGTAACCATAGGTTTCAACCACTATTGAAATACTAACAGTATTGAAAGAAATGTTTCACCGCTTCACTGCGTCAGCAACTTTTGAAATAATTATTTCAATAGTGGTCGTATTTCAATAGTGGTTATTACCTATGTTTGTTATTGAAATGCACTCTCAACCACTATTGATATAATTATTTCAATAGTAGTTGTATTTCAATAGTGGTTACTAACTATGTTTGTTATTGAAATGCACTCTCAACCACTAATGATATAATTATTTCAATAGTGGTCGTTATTTCAATAGTGGTTGCAACAGGGCTCTTTTGACTATGCGTTTATGTTTTTACGCTCTTTTCTGCTTCTGGATATTTAGAAAACAAACCACTAAGTGCATGGGCAAGAATGCCTCTAAAAATTTGACAATCTTAGCCTCTTGGTCATTGCCTCTGTGTTAGGGTTGGGTTTTGTATTAAGTATATCATGTAGTAAAATAGTAATCCCCCCAAGAGATATCACTACGGGACCTCTAGAAAGCAAAGAGAGTACAAATTTATTATGAGGAAGGATGTTTATACCATATTTATTTGAAAATCTAGACCATTGGGTTTAGGGTTCTAGTGCCTGGCAGGCTCAATATGACTATGTAGAAAAATCTACACTCTACTTTGAGAAGTTATTATATTACCCTTTGCTTTAACCTTTTAATAGTAAATCACCATAAAAAATAAAATTGATGCATCATTCAAATAAAAAGATGTACAAGAATATTTCATGTATAATTCAAAAAGTAGTCCTTTTTTTGCCAATATGGTCAATTAGACTTGTTAATAATTGAGTAAATAAGAAAGACAAAAAAGTCAAAATGGAATCTTACCTAAAGACCAAGAGAGACTAGAGACATGAGGATCGTATTGGGCTTACTATTTGTATATTGTGTTTCAGTTGTATTGTTGAATCTTATGCTCAAGAGTTCTGTTTCTGAGTTTTTGACGATTTCCAGACTTGCTATTTTGTTGATCCCTGATCGTAATATTGTATATAATTTTTGTTTATAATTTTTCTGGATCATATACACGGGTTCATTATACTCAGGTGACCATTGAGGCCCTTGGGCATACGCATAATATATATTTTTCAATTTTCTGTAGCTCTTGATATAGCTCTTGATATAGATTTGGATCAATGTTTTGTTGCATAATCTTTGTGGGTAGGTGGGATTTACGCTGTTATTGCAAGCTTTCTTGTTTTGGGTTTCCATTGAAATAATAACCCCACTCGGTGTATTTGGTCATTATTAAAATCTCTATTTAAATTTGTAGAACTAAAATTTTTATTTGCATGTATAGAAATATACAGTAAAAGCTCGCCTTGTTAATATCTAAGACAAAGGACTATAGATTTCAAAAACGTTTGTCTACATCCAGTGATATTGTTAGCATCAACAAAACATGTACGTGTTGTCGTTGGAATCGATTCTAATTAGGCTCCTTTTGTGACCAGCATCTTTAATTGGGAATTGAACTGATAAATCTATGATGGTATAAAAACGATCGACTGTTTATATAGTGTAATTAAGTAAAGGAGCATTAAATGCATTTTACACTGTTATAAAACCATATGAGGGTTGGCATATTGTGTATGGCATGACTTTCACCTTTGATGAAAATAGTCATTTTTTTTTTGTTGAATGATAAATTGCTAGTATGTCTACTCTAAAACGTCGTCAAAACAGTTCACTTCAACACTGCGCAGTAGTGCGGAATATGAATAAACAGAGCTTCTCAATTATCAATGAATTTTAAGTCTCGAACACGATGACTTCAGCATTTTTTACTCTTTGGTCATCGCCAAAGAGAGAGGGAGAGGGGGGGATAAGCATCAAAGAGAGAGAGAGAGGGGGGGGAGGGAGGGAATAAGCATAAAAAAATAGGATTTCAATCTTCATGGAATGACTTCTCAGGATTCTCAGAAATCATTATGAGCCAAAAGCTGAGATCAGATGTAGCTTTTCAGCTGCAAACAAGAGCATGTTTTCAAAAAGTGAAAGTGATTTACAATACTTTAATAACCAGAAGTCTCTGATGAGATTGTAGCTCTACTGCCTTTTACTTAACTAAAGTAGAGAAAGTGGCACTTAGACTTGAAACTATAGTTACATCACAATTAATGCGAAATTCTATCAAAATATTACTTTTACTGCAGTAAGCTAAATTGTCCTACAAAATCTGCTGTAAAATTTAATGTTGTCTGAAGTCTTTCATACAAATTGCCAGATCTTAAAGCCATTTTTGATAATGTCTACGATTTTTTCTGAAAATCCGAATATGACCAGGAGCACACGTCGAGTATGATTGGTCAGTCAGTAGGGAATGTTTTCTCCTCCATGTCAGCTGATCCTAACCCTGATATCAGAGGTCCGTGTTGGCTGTGCTCATAGTTTGTATTATGGTAGCGTATTTTTTCAGAATATTGTTTTCTGGTTTAATTGTGGTTCCAATGTGGTGATGGGTTTTGAAATTTATTTCATAATCACTTTTGAAATAATTCTAATAATGGTCGTTATTTTAAAAAAAATGCTGTTGCAATAGTGAAGTAGGGCCTCACATTTCTTGTTCGGGTAAAATATTTCAACTTTGAATGGTGAAAAATACGGGTTTCTTAATCACTTTTGAAATAAATCTAATAGTGTCGTTATTTAAAAAAAAAAAAACGCTGTTGCAATAGTGCAATTGGATCTCATATACACGTATCTTGCTCGGGTAAAATATTTCAACTTGGAATGATGACTTTAAAAAAAGTTTAATATATCCATCAAGATTTTTTGATCGGCATTTACCCTTTAGTTGACAATTATCTTCATGTTGTTCTCTGAGGAAATTTTTTTTTTTGGCATTTAAAAAAAAAAAAAATCTTCATTAACAAATCATTTTCTTTTGAGATATATTGGGATTTACATTGTTTGTTCCAATATTTTTAAAAGAGCGAGCACTTCAAAAGTAACGATCTATCTTTGATGCTTTAAAATTCATAAAATATTGATATAATTTATGTACCAGGTACATATGTTTAATAGGACAATGACCCAGTTAAAGAAAATCAAATGAAGAAGAATTCTATGTCAAGGAGAATACCACCTATAGGTTTGACACACTCTAGAGTCAAGTGGAAAGATACCTGAACCTATTAAACACGGCAGACACACTTCATCGGATAAAATCTATGTAGAGTGATACTGCTGCACCGTGCTGTTACGAGCCATCTATGGAAACGGGAATAAATATGGTGATAAGAGATGTTATGTACAGCTATTGATCGATCCTTCTACCAATGTGATTTAGTCACCAGCGACAATTAAAACATTCCATCCCAGTTTTGGACGATGTAAGGGCAACAGCTCAAGGAGGAAATAAAAGCTAGACGGTCTTGTTGAGACTCTATTGATTACAGAGGGGCTTTAGGTGTTTGTTTTGTCGTGAGAGCAATTGATCTCTCCAGAGATTTGATTGAGATTTCATGATGTGTTATATTGATTGCGAAGAAAGGTGAATCAAAATTTCTGAAGCTGGAGGAGGCAACAAATCGCAATTTCCTTTGAACAGGGTGTATGTGTGAAGAAGAACCATTAATATTCTTCCAAATTATGTTCAGGAATCAGATTTCATGTATTATTTCGAAATGATGCTTGATTAAGTGATGTTGCAAGACAGATATTTGCGCATTTTCTCTTTGCCTATATGTCACAGAAAACTAAAAAATGTCTAGTTTGCGATTACGTCAGGAAATAAAAAGCAGACGATCAAGGAGCAGACGTATTGAATCAGGGTAAGTATGTATATATATTAAAAATATTACAATTTAATGAAAAATGTTGCTGTGTTTTGTTCAGAAGTTGTTTGACAAAATACCTATTTTTACAGATACCAACAACATCAAAATGGTTTACAACCATTGAGCAACGAGAATTCTGAGCCCGACATCATAGCCTGTATCGATATTGGTACAACATATTCTGGATATGCGTTTGCGTTAAGAAAAGATCTTGAAGAAGACAGACTCGGTGTTCACGTGAACAAAGAATGGATCTCTGGAAACTCCAAACTGACGACGCTGAAAGTTCCAAGTACGGTACTATTGACCCCCGAAAAGAGGTTCCATTCGTTTGGCTACGAGGCGGAATGGAAGTATGGACAATTAGCTGCAGACAAAAACCACCTCGGGTGGTATTACTTCAGAAAGTTCAAAATGACGATGATGCAATCTGAGGTACTTTTAAACTCTTACAAGCAGCTATTTAGAGTCTCTTATAATATTAAAACTCCATTTATCAGTGTAAAGGGAGCAACTTATAACCAAGTGAAATTGGACATAAAAATATTATTATCTTTAACAAGTGTAGAGAGCAACTTGTTTCCAGTAGATTTAGACGTCTTTCATTTCTCCTTTATTTTAGCCTTAAAAAACAAAATCCCCATAAACAATATGATCAATATGCCCAGGTGTAATTACATTAATATAATTTCAAGCCTTTTTTTAGTCACAAAAAAGAAACATGGTAGAAATTTTTTTTTTTTTTTTTGTTTTTTTGTTTTTTGTTTTTTTGCTAATGCTAAATTTCATTTTTGGGTAAACGTGTAAAATTTACAAAAATGGTGACGCTTAAAGGTACTACTAGTATTTACCATCACATAGCAAAACTATACGAATTGACTGATAAAACAGTTTAACGGCCATGATTCCCTTCAGCCTCCTTGCGACACGATGCATTGTAAATATTTAAACAAACCAAACACAATGCATTTAGCCTTAACAAATGGTAAATTCTACCTGCAAGTAAATTTTGATGGATATCTCGCTTCGGAGTTTCCAGAATACAGATTTTTAGCTGAAGATTTATCAATATGTGTTGTTTTAATGCAGCAAGTACTGATTATATTGCAGGTTATCTTGCAAAATTATACATTCTGAACACGTATCTTTGGAAATAATAGTACACAAAATTATATGGATATTTTTGTTTTAATTAAATATTAACTTGATAAACTTACCGTAAAAATGCCACCAGATCATTGTGGTCGCAGGTCTTTGTTAAAATAAAAAGAAATGTCTAGATCACGTGCTACCAAAACAAATATAACAAAATGTCGGATCTTCAACAATTCTTTCTGATCTCGATATTGTATTGATATTCTTAATATCGAAGAGATAACCTTCCAGGT